CACACTGACACAGTATTTGCAGATGATCAGTGCCCTGTGCTGTTTTTTTTTTTTTTAATTAAAATTGAGGCTTTTAAATTGAGGTTAATTAAAAATGAGGTTTTTAAAAAGTGCTTAGCATCAAAAATGATGCAAACCTTAGTGTCCGCCTGGCATTCCAGTCCTCGACTCTCCAGATTTAGCCTGCAGCTTCCTGCTCCTTCAGCATGTCAGGAAGGGGCAAATCCAAGAAACAGGTCAACATGGTGAATGGAAGGTCAGCAAAGTGGCCGTGGAGGAAGGACTCGACCTAGGGAGTTATTTTAGGATGTTTGTGAGTGAGAGGAAAGAACCCTAACCCAGAGCAACCTCCATGGCGGGACTGCTGTGCACCCACAGCATTGTCTGGCAGGTAGAAAGTTGTAGTTAGCTAACCATGTGGGAGATTGTCCTTAGGATGCCCAAGTCAGTGCCCAAGTCAGTGACAGCACCATTCAAGTTGCTGGTGGTGGAGAGGTGGCCAGCCCTGTTGTACAGAGGCCTTGAAGAGCCCGAACACAGCCTGTGCTACAGTCAAGAGTCTCACCCAAATGGATGTCAGGGTCTTTCCTCACCCTTCCCCAGTTATCCTGATGGACAGACAGACACCCTGGGTTCCTGCCACCACTCACCCAGGCACCCTGCCTTCTCACATCTCACCCATACAAAGGCCAGAAAACCATGGTCCAATCAAACATTACGAACAGAACACATTGCAGCTGAACCAATACTAAAACACCTTAAAAGAATTAAAGTGAGCCAGATGATGGTGGCACATGCTTTTAATCCCAGCACTCAGGAGGTAGAAACAGGTGAATCTTTTTGAGTTCTAGGCCAGCCTGGTCTACAGATCGAAGTTCCAGGAAAGCCAGAGCTACACAGAGAAACCCTGCCTGGAACAGCCCCCCCCCCAAAAAAAAGAAAGAATTAAGGTTAGCTGCCATATTGATGAAGACCTGTGATCCCAGCACTTAAGTGGTATTGTATGATCAGAGGTCATCCTCTGCCACATAGGGTTTGAAGTTAGCCTGGGCTACATGAAACACTGTCCTTGTATATTACTTTATTACAATTTATTTGGTGTATAGGTTGGTAGTTGGGTGTGTATGTGCTATGTTTCTAGGTCAGAGTTCAAGCCCAGCCTGTTCTATAAAGCAAGTTCAGGACAGCCAGAGCTACACAGAAAAATCCTGTCTTGAAAAAAACCAAACCAAAACAGCGACAAAACACACATACACACCAAAAAAACATAAAGCCAGCAGTGTCTGCACACACTGCTGGGGATATTAGGTAGCCCGGCAAACACAAAGCAGAACTACTAACAGGCTTTTCAGAGGCTGGCAGAGTTCTAGCCCTTTGGTTGGTTGGAAACTAAGAATTTGTACATTTCAAAAGATTTACCTAATGGCTACAAAGATGTGATGTCATGTAACAGAGGACAATAAATGACTATTGTGGGGGCCAAAGATGTCCCAAGAGAACTTGGCTCTAGACATAGCATTCCAACCTGGGCACATCATTGAGGTTCCAATCCCTTAGTCAGCCTTGCAAAAGGGGTGCTTCCTTTTAGGCTCATTGTTCACAGCTGTGTTGAAAGCTTTTAGCTGATTGCATGATCAGTCCTGTCCTGAAGAATGAGGGAGTCACTGAACGGAGCCAGTCAGAGTTGAACCACCCGAGGGGCAGTCAGTCTTGGCCACTGACCTCATCCAGCCTGAGGTAAGAAGTCCCACACTGCTTGTAGGTTGAGCTCACCCTGTGAAGCACCAAGTCCTATTCCACCCACTGGCTTAGCACCTTCCACGGCTCCCCATGCCGTAAATCAAGCCTAATCCCATCCCAGCCTCCACTAGGGCTAGCCTCCACTGCCAGACACGGGCTCTTTAAAACACTCCACTTTCTGGACAGGAATAAACCAGTGCTATTTGTAGCACCACAACTTTGAACTTGTCACTCCCTCTGCCTAGGTTCTTCCTCAGCCTCCCTTGTCCTAACCCCAAGTCAACCTTCAAAAGGAACTGGATGTTCCTGAATGTGGCAGCTTCCAGTGTTAACCTCAGCCCTTTTGAAGCTGAGGCTGGAGAATTGCTGTAAGTTTGAGACCAGCCTAAGCTGCTGAGTGAGACACTGTTCTAAAACAAAACAAGATAACCTAGAGACACACATGGTAACATACATCTCTGATTCCAGTACTAGGGAGACAGAGACAGGTGGCTCTCTGTGAGTTCAAGGCCAGCCTGGTCTATGTAGTGAGTTCTAGGACAGCAAGGACTATATAGAAGTCTCCAAAAAATAAATAAATAAATAAATAAATAAAATTAGATAAGCTGAATGACAATTGCCAGAGGGGTGGTGACATGCTCCTGTATGGCCCTGTTACTGAGTGCTGAGCTGGGCTGGTTAGTCTGAAACTGGGGGAGAGTGGCCTGGAATCCACAAGCTTCCTCTTGGTCGGTTCTGCCTACCCATGTTCCTATAGCTGGTTTGTCAAAACCAGTCTGAGGTCTTTTAATTTGCATACCCATGGTACATAGAGAGAAGTTACACAGTGCCTGAGTTCCAGCCCTGAGTGATGCGGAAGGTGCAGTGTGGATATGGGGTCACAAAGGTCTGTGGAAAGAAAACTCACTTTAGGAATGCATTTAGCCATTGCTGCAGGGGACCCCAGCTGCAAGGAACTGAAATACATTTCCTATACCCAGGGCATTTTAATTTTCTCCATATTTACATTTTAGCCAGTTGACCACCATATGCTCGGAACAACTTGAATGAGGCTTCCAAAAAGACAATGCCATGCACAGAGGCACCATAGTTTTCCCTGTTCCCTGAAGCAAGTTTTGCATAGGCCTTCATCTTCTCGGGAAATTCCCAAAGTTCACATAAGGGGAACAAAAAGTATCCTGTAGGTCAAAGTATGGATTAGGCCAGGTGCTAGCTCTCTGGAGCTAGGCCAGGTGCCAATCAGTGGGTGCTTAGGGCTAGTTGCTACCACTTTAACACCAGGCCAACAGGATACTGATACACTTGAGGACGTTTTTCCATGATTGTAGGATTGTTGAGAACATGAATGTATAGAAACTACAGTCATCTAACCTACACCATGCAGCTGAGGCACAGAACCTCTGGGAGGCTGGAAGCAAAAGGACACACCCATCCTCTGGTTTTTCTTCGTATCACTGGCCTTTTTCACCTTTCATACAAACATTTCCATAAAGGGGAACAATTTTGAGTCAACCCTTTTTCTTTCAGATTTATCGTATTTTTTATTATATCTATGCATGTTGGGGTGGTATGTATATGTGGTATTCAGACACCCGTGAAGACTAGAGACATCAGACTCCCTGGAGCTTGAGTTAGAGGTGGTTGTGAGCTACTTGAGCTGAGTACTAGGAACTGAACTCTGGTCCTTTCCAAGAGCAGCTGAGCCCTCTCTGGAGCATTACAAGATTCTCATTCTATACTCCAGGTATGTAGAATGTAGGCAAAGCTGTCCTTGAACCTAGAGGTATCTGCTCCCCAGTGCTAGGATTACAGACATGAGCCACTACACCCAGCTCCTAATCAGGGGGCATGGTGTCCATGTCTGTAATTAATTCTATCACTTGAGAAACTGAGGCAGGAGGGTCATTATGAGCTCCTTTGGTTTTGTTTTTGGAGACTACATTTTGCTATATTGCCCAAGCAGGCTAGTCTCATTCCTGCTTCAGCTTTCTTAGTGCTTAAGTCACAGGCCACCACAAGTAGTTTGATTTTTATTTATAGGTAACTCTGAGTGTCCTGAAACTCATGTAGACCGGGCTGGCCTCAAACTCAGAGATAGCCTGCTTCTGCCTCCTGAGTGCTGGGAGTAAAGGTGTGCACCTCCATGCCCAGTTTATTTTGCTTTTTAAAACAGGTCTCACCATGTAACTAACCTCGGCTGGCCTCAAACTGCTGATCCTCCTATGTCCACTTCCTGAGTACTAACATTTACAGGCCTAGTCCGCCATGGTGTTTGCCTCCTGAACACATATCGAGAGACAGCATTGTTAGCCTGCATGAAAGGTGGAGTAGACTGATGGTTTCCAGCGATTGGAATGAGTTCCAAGCTCCTGGAAACAGTTTAGAAAGCCATTCTCATCACAGCACGGTAGCAAAGCTAATGGGAGCATAGGCTTAGCTTAGTACATGGCCTCCAAAATTGTGTAAAATAAAGTAACCAAAAGCAAGAGAATTAATTAGTCGTACAAGCCGCGAATTACTTTCATTGAATACCCACTGGGTAGCCCGGTAGCCACCTGTTCAATATTGATAGAGAATACAAATAACTATCTTTAATCCATAAGATATATACGTATGTATGCATACACACACACACACACACACACACACACACACACAGTTTTGTTCTTGTTTTTGTTTGTTTTTTGAGACAGGGTTTCTCTGTGGTTTTGGAGGCTGTTCTGGAACTAGCTCTTGTAGACCAGGGTGTTTCGAACTCACAGAGATCGGCCTGTCTCTGCCTCCCCAGTGCTGGGACTAAAGGAGTATGCCACCACCACCGGGCAAGCAATGTATTTTTCTATGTCAGAATTATAATTTTATTTCCTTTTCAACTGTCCACTATCCTTCATTTTTAAATCTTGCTTTACAACTTCTTTAAAATTATTTGCTGGAAACCAGACAGTGGTGGTTTTTCTTGGGGAAAAAAATAATATAAAATATATATAGTTCCAGCTACACACACACACACACACACCACACACACACACACACACACACACACACACACACACACACACCAAAAAGTTAATTCTGGAATTCCCAAACTCAAGAGTTAAGAACTGCTAATTATCTAGGAACTTTAGTAGCTGGTCCTGGAATGAATGTATCACAACGATGGGACTATCACAAGGGTGCATTGTGCACTGAGGGAAAAGGAGTTTGGGAGCACTGGCTGGGGGTAAGGGCAGAAAAGACCCCAAAAGTGTCAGAAGGTAGGCTGCACACTAAACCAACTCGAAAGTATTATTAGAATGGAGACAGGGCATAAGGTAGGCAAGAATGAGATCCCGGTATGAGAAGGTCGAAAACACACTGATCCTGGAGCCAGGAAGCTGATTTGTTGTTAAAGAGGATAAGCTAAATAGATAACAGAGTCATCAGAACAGTGGGGCACGGAGGCGTGACCGGCAGCAGGATGCTGTGTGAGCACACAGAACAAAGGACACCTCACTTCCGGCCTCGGGGCGTCGCCCGAGCTCACGGTACAGCCCCAATTTCGGGTCCACTACCCCGCCCCTACTTCTACGCGGAGGCTTTAGGTTTTGCTCCAGACCGGGAACGATCCTTCCAGCATCTGGCTCGCTAGGTTTGCCGGGAGCGGAAGCCCGACTCGAACGCAGAGCACCTCGGGAGCTGTAGTTTGGGGTGAGATCAAATGCCTCCTAAGTTGCAGAAGTAGGTCATCTGAAATGAAGGTCCAGAAAACGGTGGTGATCCCGAGGCAGGGTTCCCCTTCGCCGTCGGCACGGTGCGCCCCGGGCTGCATCTCCTCTCCGTAGGGCGTGGCACTTCCACGCCTCCACAATTTGCTCCACCTGTAGAAGAAAGCTGGTCACCAGGCAGTCTGAAGTCCCTGGCAAGGGCCCGGGCTCCTCATCCCCACGTGGCGTCCGCACCGGGATGAACGGCTCCCGTCGGTTCTGCTCTTCCAGAGCGCTCAGCTCTGCCGGAGCCAGCAAGGGTAGTCTCAGCTCTCGAACCACTGGAGCTGCCACCTCGGCCACCGGTCGCTCCAACACCGCCTGTGGAATCGGACCTTGAGCCCCTTGGAGCGGCTTCGCCCTCCGCCTCCCCCAGATCCCACTCACGGCGCCCACGCGCGCCCAGCTTCGGGCTGCCTTGACCAGTTCGGCCTCATCCACGCAGAGCTTGTCACTGCGTAACACGGGCAGCAGCGCAGCGGAGGACAACTCCAGGAAGCCACGTGTGCGGAGCGCCTCCTGTGGATCGGTGTATCGATCAGGGCAGAGAAGAGTGGCGTTGGGGGTGGGGGCAGTGGGACACAGGCTACAAAAGTATAATGTTGGGGAGCTGTACCTGGCTGTGAGCCTCTATGAAGGCTATGCACCGCTCCTGCAGCAGCCCCAGGCCAAAGGTTACAGCAACCTGAGAGCAGAGTGAAGGAGGTCAGTCTAGAGACTGGAGAGGCTGTGTAACCCAGCTCTACACACTAAGGACTGCCACAAGCCTGAGCGCAATCCAATGGGGAGGCTGACAGCACACGCATTGTCTCATGAAACTGACCTTGGGAAAGCACAGTGGCCCATGAACACACAAGCAGGTATTAAAGGACACCATGTTCAGGTCCAAGCTTGGCTTCTAAACTCTACATCCTACCTTTCTCCTATCCCTGCTTAGAGCTATTTCCCACTCTTGGGTTTTGTTTTGGGGTTTGTATTTTTTTTTTTTTTCTAATACAGGGTTCCCTTTGTAGGCCTGGCTGGCCTTGAACTCAGACCCATCAGCCTCTGCCTCTCAAGTGCTGGGATTAAAGCCATGTACCACTACAATCTCCCTGGCTCCATTTCCCACTCTTAATAGCAGACCACTATGTAGCCCTGGCTGGCCTTGAACTCAGATCCGAATGTCTCTGCTTCCTGAATACTGGGATTAAAGGCATGTACTGCCTTTCCCAGCCCTTTGACTCTTCCTCCTACGGATGACGTTCCTGATGTACTCCACACCCCCACAGATTTGGGCATAGAGTTTATCTCCTAAGCATCCTTGAGCACACATGCCCTCATATTCCTTAGCAGATGTAGCCAGTCAAGGCTTCTGCCATGTGGAGATGCCAGGACCACATTCTAAAAGTCAGATTCCTCCCAGGGCTGCCCAGCCATACCTACCTGTAGGGCCTCACAAACCAACTCCACATCCAGCACCTTTACCACAAACTCCAGGCATAACTGGGGACAGAAATGAAAGTGAATTGTGTGGTGGTATCCCTCCTTCCAAGACCTCAGGTAGGCTTGGAACAATGAGTCACCCAGGCTCCCAGCAGCCCCAGAGCCATCTTGACCTCCCCAGATTTGGGAAACGGAAAAGACCCATCCAAACCCTCTAGCTTCCCCCTCCCATTCTACCTTCCTGTACTTGTTCCCCTCCTTGACTCAATGACACTTCTATTTTTTAACAGAAACTTAAATTTTATGCTTGACATCTCTCTTCTAGAAAAGCACTGGGTTGTGCCAGCTGTCTCAGAGCCACCCACCTCTCTTGGACTGCCATTTCTGTCTTGGCCACACCCTCTTGACTTTGATCCTAATCTGACAGGCCTTTCCTTTTTCCTTTTCTCTCAATCCCTTTTTCCCTTAGCCCCCTTGTCCAAAACTTGTAAGTGAATCTCCACCACCCTTGCATTATATGGACTCTGGGGGAGAGGGAGTTGCTATGTAGCCTTGGCTGGCATTAGAACTCAGTCTGTAGACCAAATTGGCCATGAGCTTGGATTATCCTCCCCTACTCTGCCTACTGAGTGCTGGAAATACAGATACATATACATGGATAGTGCTAGAAGTTGAATCCCGGGCCTATAACATGCTAGGCAAGTGTTCTACCACTGAACTATACTCCCAGCCTAAAGCACAAATTATCGAAGCACCTGCATGAACCAGCTTCCTGGTACCCTCCCAATTCACCCCACAATCATGTTCCCAATCCAACCACACTTCTTACCTAAGCAGCTCCTTGATTGCCCTGTGACTATAATGCCATCTTCCCACTCTCCTGAACAAAACCCTACTTGTTCTTCCAGTTCTAACACAAAAGTTCCCTTCTCCAGGAATCTCTATACACCAGCAGTCTGCCTATCACACTTAGACCTCTACTTTTTAAGTTTAGCTCTTTGAAACTAAGTCTCACTCTGTAGCCCAGGCTAGCCTTAACTCTCTAGGTAATTCAGGCTGGCCTTAATATGCTATCCTCCCCAGCCTTCTGGGAATACTAGCCTGAAGCACCATGGCCCATGAATGTTAAGAGTCTTCATATGTCTCTCCAATTACAGAACCAAAGCCAATTTACCCTTGTACTGCAGAACCAGCCATAAATGCTACTGCTGTTTACTCAGCACACACTGAGCATGTGCAGATCCTGAATACATACTTCTGTCTGCGTGAGAAGGTCAGATTATGTGAAGGAGGCTATGAACTGAAAGCAAGGGAAACAAGATGGCCTGCCTGAGACACTTACCTCCCGAAGTTCCTCTAGTCCATATTCCACAGCGGCTGTCAGCACCTCCAGCACCTGCACAGGGGGTGGTGGTTGAGGGAGCAGAAGGGAGTTTCCCCTGCCCTTCAACCCACAGCATAACGTGCAGACTCCTGCCTCTTGCAGCCTCTCTCCTACCCTGACCCCTGCTTGGTAAGCTCACAGAGTAGCGGTGCAGCTTGACACTGTTGGTATACAGGAACTCCAGCACAGCTAAGAAGGCTTCGGCTGGCACAGTGCTTAGCACCACAGGACTAGGTTCCCCAAGGCCCGGCTCTGTGCCCAAGAGTCTCTGGAAGAAGTTGCATCTACAGGCCAACAAACACCGGTGGGCAAACACCTCTTGCCGTTCTTGACCAACCACAAAGCAAACATCGCTGCGGAAGAGAGGACAGAGAGCCAGAGAAAGGAATCTTGAATCACATTATACTTTTTGGCTTTGCCTCTGCCACACTGGGGCTTACCTTCTTTTTATGTAAGGTCAAAACCCAAGTCTGGGAGACACAGGCCTAAACTCTAGTCTCAGTTCTACCCTGTGACTTTCTATCTTTGATTTTCAGACTCCTCAGTTGAGACCACAAGTCTCAGAGGAGTTGACTCTGCTTGGTCAAAGAGGGGATGTTCCTATTTAGGCATCTGTACTAGCCTGTGCTTGGAGTTCTGACAGGATATACCCCCAGCTGCAGCCACCCAGAGCACCACCTGTGCACAGTCACTGTGTTCCCTTTTAAAAGGGCCCACTTCCCATCATCCTCTCCCCACCCTTTCCTCTCTGCCTCTTTCTCCTACTGCTCCTGTCTCTAGAGGCTGGTCCCCCTCCCCTTTCTCCTTTTTCCAATCCTTCCCCCTTAATAAAAAAAAAAAAAAAAACCCTCTGCTTTCTTTCTGTTGCATGGTGTCTTTCTCTCTTGAGCCACTTTTTTTTGTTTTGTTTCAGATTCTGAAACAGGGTTTGCCTGCCTCTGCCTCCCGAGTGCTGGGATTGAAGGCGTGTGCCACCGGTGTGTGCCACCACTGCCTGTCAAGCCACTTTTCTTAATTACAACAGGGGATACCAGGGTTCATGCAAGCAAGATTGCTCTCTCCCCAGTCTGAGTCTTGGGGGAAAGGAAACTCCTTGTGGTACTGCTTCCACGAGATGCCAACTCAGCGTCTTTGCTCTTCCTCCCGTAGGAGGGTGTGAGGATGTGGGGAGCACAGCACATTGACTGCAAACAGACATGGCAGTGATACACCCTCATGAGGTGAGACCACATTTTCCATCTTCATGATCACTTCCTGCCTCAGTCTCTGAAGCTCTGCATAAGGTAGAGGGAGGCAGGCAGCAGAGAGCTTCAGCCTCCAACGCCTTCTACTCCCCGGCTCAAGGCCTAACGGTCCACTCTTACAGCCAGACTGTGACACTCTGCCCTCAAAGGAGTTATGACGGTCGCTAACCCTGAGGGAGCAGGCAGCCTCAGACAGTGGGGATGGGAAGTGGCATTCTGTGTCCCATGACCAGCCCTGCCCCCAGTAAACTCTATTCCTGGTTTCAGACAGCACTAGCCTCTTGGGCAAGCAGTGGGAGGTCAGCAACCTTGAACTACTTCCTGTCTGGGTCTCTGACCTAATCCTTTGTGCCCCGTTCCTCTCATGGATCCCTGGAGTCCTCTGCTCCAGTCCCTTCAAGGAGAAGTCCCATCACTTAGTTGAATATCCACGGGAGTGAGCCAAGTCAAACCCACTTTCCAGGGCTGACAGGGTTAAGGATTCCTTCATCCATCCAGAGAAGGAAGGAACAACTTTGCCTGAGTTCACACAGCTGCCCTTCTCTATCCCCCAATGCCCTCACTTCTGACTCAGGATAGCATGGACACAGGCCAGTAGACACACTTGCTACTCGACTTCCTCATAGACTGAGTGCACCCGGGAGGCCAAGTGCTCTTCCTGGCCTCTTCACCCTTAGCCTCCTCAAATGTACAGACTCATGAGAGCCAGCTAGGGAAAACCCACCAAGGGGAGGGGGGGAGGGCACTGTCTCACCTGTACCGGGGATTGTTCACAAGGTTCCGGAGTGCTGTGGAAAAGGGTATACTTTGCCCATGCACAACCAGTCCTGGGCTCTCCATTTGTGGGATGAGCAACAGAACAAAGTGGGGAATGGCCTAGCAGGCCCAGCCAGGCCAAGAGCTGGTGAGGCAAGGGAGGCCTGAGAGGAAGAACAGAAGCTGTCGAGGCTGTTAGTGAGGAGCTGAGGTTTCAGAAGAGGCCCAGGGCCCTGAAGGAGGCCTGAGGTTCAGTAAAGGGCTGCAGGTACAGAGAGGACCCAAAGAAGCTGAGGCTGGAAAGGCCTATGATCCCAGAGAAGCTGGTGGTGGATGAGGCCCAGGTTGGGAGCCTGCCCAGACAGCGGCTGGGTGGGAAGCCTGTGGGTTTCCATAGAAACTGGAGCTGAGCCTGGGGAGGCCCCGCCCATCTCCCTATCGGCCCAGGAAAAAATTTCATCTAGAAGAGCTCTGAGAAGAGTTCAGGGGTCCTCATGCTGGCTCCTGCCTACACTTGGTTCAGAGTTCAAGACCTCTGCCTGCCCTCCTAATCTCTTCCCTACAGGTTCAGTTTAGAACCGGGAGAGCCAAGCCTGAGACATCACCTCATCAGGGAAAATTCTCACCCCTAAGTATGGTTCCCAGAGCTCAGACTTAGTTTACCTGGGGGGTAGGGGAGCAGCCCCATGCCTCCCAGAGTAGGAGGGGTGAGGTGTCAGTTCCACAAGCAGCACACAGCCCCTGGCATCCCTGAGAAGCAACCAGCCCTAGAGGCATTTTGTACTAGATACTGGGGCGCGAAGGCAGTATGGCCAGGGGGCACAAGTCCCAGGGCCCCTGAGTGGGTCAGCAGAAGTCAAGAGACTGGATGGACTTAGATTCACCATTGAGTCATACTATGCTAGGCCTGGGTCTTTCCCACTGAGGCCAAAGGCCTCCCCTCCTCAGCACACAGCTCTGAAGTAAGGAAGTCATCCAAGCCCCACCCTAGTGCTGCCCTGAAGCGGAAATGTTTGTCCTTGTTGAGGCTGATGGGAGAATGTAAAACCATGACGTACTCTTTCCTGTGAGGCCAGATACTGGATTCCTAAGAAGCCACCCCCGTAGTCTAAGGCCCCTGGAACTTGTTCACAAACGGCCAGATCCAATGACTGGACACTTCATAAGAAACTGGCTTGAAAGCAAGCACATTTCTGAGGAGCGCACCCCTCTACACCCCTGCCCCTCACCTGTGATGCTCTAGAACTTCAAGCCCCTGTGGGACCCCTTCCCCCAACTCAGGGCACCCTCCTTCCCCTCAGCAGGTGCTCATAGCAGTAACACTAAGATTTATTCGGGAGTTTGGCTGGAGGGAGGAGTTCTGGGAGGAAAGGGTATGCTTGCCACAGCAGCCCCATGGTAACTGCACAACACAAGCCTTCCCCACCCACAGGCCAGTCAGGCCAGCTCAGTAAAGACTGTGAGACCAGCAGAGCTTGGAGGCCAAAGGCTGCAGGTGAGTCAGGTGCCTGAGGGAGTTTCAGGAGAAGAGGGCATGCATCCCACAGATGATTCTGATGGGGTGAGAGACCTAAGGAAGAGGATAGATGTTGCTACCCTTGTTGCCTGTAGCAGGTCAAGGGGGGGGGGGGAGGGTATAAGTCACACCCTACTTAGAGCAGGGAAGATGATTAAGTCCTATACTTCTGAGGCTAGAGAGATCTATGGGAGTGACGGAGTTGGGTCTGTCCCTTCTGGCTATGGATTGAAGAGACCCAGAAACCAGCTTCATGTCCCCATCTTGCTGACGAAATCAAGTGTGTGGGGGGGGTTGGATTTACCGATCACCCAGTCACCCTCTACAGTGACCAAGGGAAAAGAACTCTGGGTAGAGGTTCTATGATCATAAACTAAGCAACCCCTTCCCTTGCTTATATCTCTAACAATACTAATCTCCCCTAAGCAGTCCATGCACTCCCAATTTGATCTACTTGTTCCAAAGATACAGGTAAACGGATATGGAAGAGGTAGACATGGCCATATATGCCTATAGGTTACTAGGGAGGCTCTGAGTATTGCACATTCTGTAGTCCCATCACTCAGGAATTGTAGGTAGGAGGATGGAGTTCAAAGCCAGCCTCAGTTACAGAGTTGGAGGCCATGTGAGACTGTCTCAAACATACACAGAAAGAAGAAAGAGAAACAAAGAAAGAAAATCTCAACTTCACTGGCTGAGGCTGAGTGTAGGGAGTGTAGGGAGATCTTAGCCAGTGAGGGCCACTCCTCAGTGTGGATCTTCCAGCAGGCACGTCCATGGCTGGCAAGACTCTGCTATCTGGACGCCAGGAAGAAGAGACTACCAAAGACCTGGCTCTGAAATTACCACCAGGGAAGTCTGGAGGTCATCTGCCCAGCATTGATGAGACCCGACCTATTGGCCCAGGCCCAGCCTCCCGTCGTGGCTCCTTGCTGAGTCTACACCCATCCTTCTCGCGCCGCAACTCACTGGCAGGACCCCTAGTAGGTCCTGGAGGTCGACGACCATCCCTGGGCCCAATGCCCCCTTTAGGTTCACGAGTTAGCTTTTCTGGGCTACCCCTGGTGCCTGCCCGTAGGATGGCACCCTCATACCGCACAGAACCTGCGCCAGGGGAGCACTGGGAAGCAGCAAGCGCCCAGTGTGTCCTGGAGGCAACACTGCACTCAGGGCTGAGCAACGTGAGCTACTCAGGTAGCGAGGCTGGGAAACTGGCACAGGCGCTGTGTGAACAGATACGCACGCGTGTGCGGGACCTCTGCCTACCCCGCTACAAACTGGTATGCAATGTGGTGCTAGGGCCACGCGAGAGACAGGGCGTGCACGTGGTCAGCCGCGCACTCTGGGATGCAGTGCACGATGGACTGGCCTCTGCCACCTTCACGAACACGTCACTGTTTGCCGTAGCTACTGTCCACGCGGTCTACTGGGAATGATAAGACCCTCAAGTTCTGAAAAACGGTTTATTATCCCAGGAGGAGGCCCTCCTGGGGCTCACATCCCAATAAATAAATGTCTGTTAATAAATAAAAGTGGTCCATAAATAATGCCCCCTAGCTGGGAGCTAAGGCTCAGGCTATCTCAGGGAGAAAGGGGAAGAGACAGGGAGGGCAGGCCATCCCCAACTGTAGTAAAGCTGGTCCCTGACTGCCTGGGGGATTCAGCCCAGAGCCCCCAGTGAGGCACCAAAGGGACAGGAAGGGCCACAAAGGCAAGGGCCAGAGCCTTTCAGGCAAAGGCCTGGGGTCTGGATCACAGCCTGCGCTGCAGGTTGGAACCTAAGCAGGACTCCGATCCCTGAGCAGGCGCAGCGCATAGCGCAGTCGCTGGCGCAGGTCTGGGGAGCAGCCCAGCTGCCGGAGGTGGGAAGCGAGGTAAGTACAAGCACTGCGATTTCGGGCCACAAAAGTCACAAGGAGAGGCTCCCAGCCACTGAGGATCAGCTTTGTGTGGTCCCCATAGAAGTTCACCTGTGAACAGAAAGTAACAGTGTTCAGGGCTGGGACACCAGACCCATATACCTTCCCAGAACCCTGGGCCTACTGGACCTTCCCTCCAACTGCAGGATGGGCTCTTACCTGCACAGTGCCATCACTAAACAGCATGAGTAGGGCCTGATCAGTCTTGACCCACTGCAACAACAAGGGCGGGGCAGGCACCTCTACCTCTTCCACACTGGGCAGATCTCCACCCTGAAAGAACGGGCAGGCCAGGTCACTAGACTGGCATGGGCTGGGTCTCTTCCTATGGCTGTCTCCTGCCCCTACAGGATCTGCCACTACCAGCAGTGGGGAAGCAGAAGGCATCACGATGCATTAGTCCCTAAAGCCCCCCCCCCCCACTGCAGTCCACACACCTTCATGAGATGCTGCTCCATGTAGGAGGCGAAATACCGAAGGATGCCCAGCTGAGGCCGCAGAGCACGGGGTACAGAACCCACAGAGAAGGAGAAGCGCTTCGTGCTGGTGGGGTTGTAGTGCACCATCCTGAAAGTGGGCGTGTAGAGAGAGAGGAACCTGCAGTTTTCGTTCCTCCCCTTTGGACTCGAAACCCCAGACCCCTGAACACAGAAACACACACCAAAGTGCAACCCTGCTTGGTGCAATAGCCTAAATACAAAGCACCCCAGAATAGCACTTACTTCCTATTGGCTGACAGGGCCATGTGTGTGCCATCGTTGAAGAGCACGGCTACACGGCGGCTGGACAGCTGATACCCAAAGCCAAACTTGTTGGAGTAGTCAACCCACTTGCTGACCCACACCAGAGGCTCTGGCTGCGCCAGCGGAGCAGGGTTCTCTTCCGCTGTTACAGGAGAGGAGGGAGTGAAGACATTCCCCTGGCCTCCAGGTCAAAAAGAACTTGGCAAAATATTCACATGTACCAGAGCCCAGTCTTACCTGGGGGCATGAAGGCCACACAGTTCCTCAGTGCACAGAGGGCAGACTCTACCACTGTGGCCACAGTCAAACCTTCTTCAAATCCTGAGGGGACAGAGGGCACTGACATTTAGCCAACAAACAGCCTCCCTGGGCCCAGGTCATGTTCCTAGGCCTACTACTTCCTTCTGGCCCGTGGTGTCCACCCAGTGACTTCCAGCACCTCTCATCTTCTGGCTCCTCACCATCTCCACTGCTTGCCAGTGTCCCACGGGGTGAGCTGTCCTCAGCAGCTGTCTCTACCAAGCTGACAGGGGCCAGACCTGAAGCTGCTGGAGCCTGGATGGTTGGGTAGACAGGGAGTGAGATCAGGCCCCAGAATCCAAACCCTTGAAAGTCCAATGGCCCAGCCCTGTCCCTAATGGCTCTCAGGGCACCCCAGGTCACCCTCAGCTGGCTAATGAGACACAGCCAATTAGGCCACCACGAGGTTGGATGCTTCATCAGCCTTTTATGTTGGGCTTCCCTCAGCTGCTAGGGTTAGGGTGAGTCAGGGGAATAATGCTCACGTGAGCACCTCACCTCAGGCCTGACATCTGGATGACCGATGGATGTGCGCATCAGGCCGCTCACCAAGCAGGAGACGTTATCCCGTTCCTCAGAATGGTTCTTATCTGGTGGCGAGGGAGAATAGAGCCCTCAGTATCCTGCCTGACCACATTTCCTAAAGTGTTCATACAAGCTGGGCTTCCCAACTGTCTAGACAACACATGTTCTCCCCAAGAGTCTACAGGGTACTCCCCGACTCAAACAAATGTAACAAGCCACTACAACATTCTGCTGCTCTATACCCTCAGCCCATTGACACCTGACTCACTCTTGTTCTTTTTCCTGCCAAACAGGCTCTTGGTAACTTTGGCAAACAGACTCCTCGCAGGGTTGGGGGGTGTGAGATCTGGGGCTGTCACACAAGCACTGACTGGGAGCCGATC